ATTCCAAGAAAGTTTCAACTTGAAGAGCATTCAAATATATTTAGTAAACTTGCAATGCAAAATTTACCACACTTTTAAAAGACGTTTCTGGTTTTCTTTAGTTAACACAATCACAACTACTGTTATTAAGAACAAATAGTTCATTTTATTTGAACTCTCCACTAAGGGAAGAAACTTAATCTGCACAAGTCACATTATTGTTTCCCCATTTTAAGGTCCCAAGACAAAGTTATGTAGGAGATACTTTGAAAGCAAATAATGCATATGTAAATGCTTATGAAAAGAAGTCAAATTTAAAAGCAGCCTTTGGGAACACAAAGCTTGTTTTTATAAAAATTAAAGAGGCCAAACTGATTGCTTTTCAAGTTGAAAATGCCATTTTAAGTGTAAAGAGCCTACAGAAATTACCTTGAACAAATTTGACACAATGACTGAAGAGACACTGCAGGCATGTAGCTTAAGGCAGCATTGTAACAGAGCAGAAGGAAAGTCAGCACTTCAAACCTGGGATTTATAAGAAACATCAGTATTACATTATTGATTTTATTTTTTTAAGAGGAAACAAGTTTACATGAAAATTTCCAAGACTTAGTTAAACATATTTGTTATTTTGTTTCAGTAAAATTGTCCACTGAGTAAGCTTTTCCTCTTCATGTGGTAATATGCCCTGCTAGTCTTTCTGCATCTACATTTACATATGTTTAAAGACAACAAAAAAAACCCCACACCACAAAACACAGCTTAACACTTATCCACCTTCAGTCTAAAATCATAGTAAAAATTAGAAGAAGTTAAGATCCATTATTGATTCTCAAGTAAAATCCTATTATACGATTTCACCTGTTCTGTGCTGTTAGCATCTCCCTTTGAGGATGAGGTCCACTGTACACAACCCTGGACAAACCATGCTGAGACAAAGCTCCTTCAGTGAGAGCTATGGAGCCAATGCTGGAAGGCTAAAGGAAAAAGGATCACTCAAAACATGTCCACCCCAAACCTCGATACAATGCAAGTGAAAACAGACAACAATCAGCATAGCCATATTTGTATGTAAATTTTCAACAGGCTTAAGGTTATATGACTGCTTAGCTGTCTTAGATTTGAGAAGTCATTTTACACCAGAAAAGGCATATGGTTTCAGAATAGAAAAAAGACATAGCTGGTGCATGGATACTATGGATTAATAACTATTCAGCCTTGAAGAAACCTCACAGACCACTTAGCAGTAGACAGAAGTCTGAGAAACATGTTCCTATGTCACCATGCAACATGCTAAAACTAATTTTCACTTTTATTCTTAGCAAAGGTCCTCAAAGCATTCTACCTTTCCCAATCAATAACAACTTCACTTCGTGTATGTTACTTACTTCATGGTAGACTGAAGGTTTGGACAAAGACGGAATTGTGAAACTCAGCACTTTGCTATGTCCCTCTTTGTCAGCTATCTCCTGAAAAGGCAAAAGATACCAATGGTTACACTGTACTGCAGAAACCAGAAACCCAAAAATGTTAAATGTTATTATAGGGAAAGATAGGGATACTATAAAAATTTGAGCTACAAGCTAGAAATTATCTATTTGCCTTCTATCACAGTGCATTTGGTTTGTTTCTGAAAACTATTCAAATGACTTAGCAAAGGGCCCATGCATTTTGCATACATAATCCACCTTAAAAACAGTAACAGGAAATCTCAGTATGTTTAAGCAGCATTATCTGTTTTTTAGTTATACACTATTCGCTAATTGTGAATGTTAATGCTCAGTAATTCTGTTCTGAAAACTATTTAACCATCAAGTAATGACTCTAGGAGTAATTTGGTTTTGGAAATATTACAGCTCTGGAATGACTGCAGCCTCATATGGTTTGACAACAGCAGACAGCATAGCATTTGCAAAAGCCAAGTCTGCTAACTCTCTCTATGGAATTAAAAGAAGCATGGATGCAAAGCCTTGGAGAAGCTACTTTCTTGAAAGATGTCACCATAGCATTATGCTGGCAGACTTTTCACTCCTGTAAATTAACAGAAGGCAATGGGTAAGGCAACACAAGATGTGGTTATGTACCACAGAAGAGCACTGACGCATCTCAAATAAAAAACTTTGGAAGATCCAAAGCAGCCTTGACCAAAAACCAAAACCGCACAGCAGATTTTATTTCTTCTTCTCTAAATTTCAGCAGCAGATTCCACATATCCAGAAGTATTGATTAGAGAGAAGCTTCAGTGTCTCCTATCACCCATGTGCCTTGGAAGGCTTAAGGACTGACTTCATATAGTAATAATTAAAACTCATGTCTTAAAAGTAGAATATGAAGCAGTAAATGAAGAATGAAAAGTATCAAAAAGGCATACAGAGCTGTTCGTTCTGAAAAGCTACACAGCTCCTCCACTCTTCACTTATAGTCTAGTTTTCAATATTGCTTCTGCATCAATGTGGAAAACATTTTTCTCAATATATAGGAGAAAGGTAAAGAAGCTGGCTACATTCAAACTTTTAAAATCCAAAAATAACAACATTTGTATTCTTCATTCTAATCAGATTTGTAATTAAGTTTCAGGAGCGCATTTCAAGATCTGAAAAATTAAAAAAAAACAATACCTACGGCCAGGAAAGCAAAAAATTGTGTCCACTACTATCGTTATGTGTCTAAGCTGAAGGTAAAAAAAAAAAAAAACAGTTCATGATCTCAAGGTTCAGTCACAGTAATTCCATACCCCTCACAACGTAATGAATTTAAAATTATTCTGAGCAATACCTAATTTTTCATTTTCCTGCAGTAAGAAACTGTAGGACTCCTACTGAACACATTGATTCCCTCAAGTTTCCAAAAGCCACCATATATATCATTTACATAAGAATTACTACTTGTATTAGGCTACATATTTCCTCTTGTTTTTGAAAACATAAAGTAGCCGGTTACAGAGAAAAAAGTATCTAAGCAGGTCACCTACTACCTTTTCCATCTTGTATACTGAAGAACAATACCATCTTGATTGTTTAAGTTACAAATTTTATATGAGTAACATGGCATTATTTTGGCATAAGCATGCACTCATTCTGTCTTAAAGCAGGAGAGGAAAAAAGTTCCCCAAAGCCGCCTTGATCTACAGCTTCCTACAGAAGCCTGTGGTAAAATTCTTATGACTTCGAGCAGCTGGAAATGGAGAGCTAAGTTACTAATTGAGAAAAAACTGTTCATAGCTAAGAGAAGATGCTACTGGACTAACTGGTTTTAAGATTAAATGTAAATGTAACCTCTTCTAGGAGAAAAACAAGTGATTATAGCCATATCCATCAGCCATTTTAGATGACTTCATAACGCAAACATAGGAGCGAATTGACTTACGGCATAAGACACATCAAATGCTTTCAGGGAGTGTTCTCCTTGTCAGATACAACTAAGCATGCAGAAAACACCGCGTGGTTTTTTACATGCCTTTTACTCTGCTCCTAAAGAGGAGCAGAATATAAGGGCTCAGTTTTTTTAATTAGATTCTTGGGTAAAAAGATAGGTTTTCACTTGCTTGGTAAAGACACCCCTGATTATTTCTCGAAGGAGGACAGCAGCCACCTTCTCCAGAATGGGAAGAGGCAACCAAGTTCATTGCTCTTTTCACTTTCCAAAAAGCCTTCCTAAAACATCCAGAACATATAAACTACACCGACAAGAATGACAATGGACATAATAACACTATGTTTTTTATAATAACCATAAAAATACTAAAATGTGGGGCTCTTAGAGGTTCCTTATTAATTCTGTTCTTCAAAGCATTAATTTAGCAATAGATATTTTCATATAAAAATATTTTCAAAATGTCAAAGTTATTTCAAAATGTAGAATGTACTAAGAAACTGCTGGAAGTGAGGTTTTTTTGTGGTTTTAGTCAAGATAGTCAAAATACTCCAGAAAATAAGGGCAACCACTTCAAAAGTAGTGCCTCAAAAAGCTCTCAAGCAGAATTTGAGTTTAATAACAACACAAAGAAATTAATAACAAAACAATTAAGAACCACAGAAAGAACAGAAAAAACACTGACCAGAGAATAAAAGCTCATGCTGCAGACTTCTGACACGGACACCCATTTGAAGTGTCAGAACTCAATACTCAATCACTTCATTTCAATTCTGAAACAGAACTGTTAATTATTCCCCAGTAAAATATTCCACAGTATCCCCGGAAGCACACTAATATTTTAGGCCTGAATTACATACAAATACTAACCAAGTTATAAACTCCCAGGAGAAGAGCCTCTATGCACCCACTGCTCTGCAAATCTCTGCTGGCTGAGACAGCAAGATAGCACCACATCAATTCTGGTAGAAACTGCAGCGTAAACCGTAGCAATTGTTCCTCACCGCTGCGATAGAACTCAAACAGCTGATGGCAAACTGGCTCCAGAAGCTGAAAAAGAAGTTCCAATTGTGAATGAATAAAACATTAGAAGAATCAGCAATTCTGTTTGGAACAATCCTTTAGATAAAATTGTAAACTGATAACAATTACATTTTACTTATTAGGGAGCGACTGATACAATAACTGTCCAACTCACATTTTCATTCTTACAGTGTACTTTTGGATTAGAAAAGTAGAGCCACCCAACCCACATGAAGAAAGAATTCCAATGGCTGTTTTCACTCTTTTTTTTTCACTTCCTCTGGCCTCAAAGGCATAAATAGAGGATACTTGTTATCACATACCTCATGTCATGCTCTCAATATCTCTAATATACAGGAAAAGTACCTGAACTAAAGGTCTTGCTATTCTAGAACTCCAAGAGCATACACAAAAATTGCTGGAAGCTTTTACCCACTTAGTGAGAAGAGTTGTGTGACATTTAAATTCCAAATACTACAATAACTAAGTAATTTTCCCACACCCATTAAAATCTTCTAGAAGCTTCCATGTATTTATACACTTGAGACAGAAGTGGGAAGCCTCAGGAGTAATTTTAGAATCAAATTTATTAAGCTGGATGTGATACACTGAACTGGAAGTAATACTTTGAGCTACATCAAGTTAAAAAAAGACTTAACAACAATTAAACAATCAGCTTGCATTGTATGTCTTGATTTAAATGTGTATTCCTGCACTACCACCTACCTCTGCTATAGGATGAAGCATTGTGTTAACCATCATGCGTCAATGTATGGAAATTAAGAAATTTCCTAACCCAAGCAGAAAATATTCTTGAAAACAGTAAGCACTTCCAAAGCCAGACGAACCACTAAATTCAGTTCTTCTGCTATTTGTCTAGGTCACACCTTCAGTTTTAGTGGCACAAGTTTTCAGAAAAGTAAGAAACCCAATCCTATGTTCCGCCCTTCATTGCAGTAAAGGAGGCAAAACCACCAGATCACACTAGAAAAAAATCTGCTTGCTTTCCTAAGATTTTCCTCCTGAACACAAAGTTGACTAAACATTTCTTACCACAAAGTTACTTCTGAAACTGAAAGATCTTAGCAGGTTTTGGTTCTTTTTTAAGAAGCAATTTGGGACAATCTTGTCCATTCAAAAAAAAGAGGAACTTCTAGCTTCTGACGGATATAGCTTCACTTTGGAAAAATCATCTGTGAAAAATCTAAAAGTAATATAAATTTGAAGGCAAAAAAGCCACGCCAAGCTGAACTAGTCATTCATTTTAAGAGTATAGCAAAGATACTTCCAGAAAACTTTACCAGCAGAACCGCTTTCCATCTTCAGCTTACATATTTCCCATAATTTGCATGCTTCCCATAATGAAGTATCAGTTCTGAATGATGTGCTTGAAATTTAAAAGGCACATAAATAGCAATGACAGGTACCCATGTTTACATCGTTATCTCTGTTGAGACAGCTTTGTATCAGTATATTTAAATGCCTAATCAGTACAAAACCAGATTTTCTTCCTCAAAATGCCACCACATGCTACAACCTAATATCAAAATGCACTAATGATTGTTGCCATTTCAAGATATCATTTTACACCAAGCACTTCTAAAAGGTATCTAGACTGAAAAATATTTTAATGCTGGAACAAAATGACCAGGCAATTTCATCCCTCTTCCTTTTAAGCTGCATCCAAATGCGTCACACATTCCAAACACTATTTCCTAATGCAAATGCGTGCATGGTTCCTATCTAAAAGGACAGTAACAGTGAAAAAAACAAACATCGCATATTTATTTATTATTGTAGGAGTCTTGAGTCAATTAAAAGTCCTTTAAATCTTCATATCTACTGAAGACTCTCCTTTTATTGAATTACATTTTTCACCTAGCAGTGGCCCAGAAGCCTTAAACGTAATTAACAAAGTCTTTACTAACAAAGCTACTATGAAGTGGATATTGAAAAAGCAGTTCATTTACCTAAAAAATGGATTATTATTTTTTTGGAAAAGCAAACCAAAATAACCTGCATGAAAAGCAAACATGAACCAGCAGAAAAATGCAGTTACAGATGCAAACACACCTGATTACTTTTTAAATGCTTGAAAAAAAAATCCATTCCTCAAACAAGATAATTCACAATTTTATAGTACTAACAATTATATTAGAAGTATCTATATTCAAAGGTGTACAGATAGGGTTGTTTGTCCATTTTTAATGTCAGCAGTATCTGTAGTGTTCATGCAATTCATCCTCCTCCCTTGCATTACATCCATGAGGTAAGAAAGGACAGCACATACCCCACACTGTATAGCAAGGTGCCATTACACAACGCAACTAACAGATCTCAACAGTTGAAAAATATTACTTTTTAACTGCAAGTTTGTAAGTATTTTCACAACATGGAAAGCTCCAAGTAGCCCTTTCCACAAAGGGACCACTTCTTGGAGAACGGTCCAAATGAAGACTTTAGAACTTTTTCCCAAGGCAGCACAACACTCAGTGCCAGTACTGGTTTTTCATTGCAATTCAAAGTCTCACTAACAGGGAAATCTTCAATACCTTGCCCCTGGAATTACCCCAACAACCTTTTCAAGCAGAATTTGCAGCAGCACCCTGTTACTAAAGTCCCTGAGAAACCTAGCAATAGCCAGAAGTAGTAAGAAATCAAAGAACATATGAAATTTGGCTATCAACAGGGAGACTCATCAGATTAATGCACATGTTGATATGCATTCTGAAGACCAGATAGGCTTGACTAAGTAGTTGGAATGACTCAGAATGCCTTTCTGAGCAGCAAAGAAAAATTCTTTGCTGGGCAACCTGAGTTTCACTATGAGCATTCTCTCTAAAAATGTACATATTGAAAGCGTTTTATCCTCTGACCTTTACTGCTGGCATAATCTCAAACTTTGGAAAGCTGCCTTATTGCTGGGCCTTTTCAGAAGAGGAATTAAGGACTTGGTGCAATCTTAAAGTAATACACACAAGGTTTGCTGGATCATAGAAAGTGAGTCAATACAGTTAACAACACAAAGCTAACCCCAGTTCTTTATGTACTGAATTCACCCGGACACTTTAAAACAAGGGTAGCTGTGGGATATGGAACCTATCCTGGTAAAAGTACTGGGCAAATCTGCCCCCCTTCCCCCAGTTTTTTTCATATTTTCCATCATATCAGCAAGGGTACATCCAATTTATAAATCCATGTATTTATATTGTATTTCGAACAACAACAAAAGGATCACAAACCTTTGATCTCATGGGCTGTAATAGACAAGCTTCTGACATAGATTCACATTCAATTACAGAAAGAATTCTGTCAGACTCAAACATCTCTTTAATTCCTTAATATATTTCTCAATTCTACATCCAAGTCCTGAAGCCCATGAGTGGGATCTACAAATTTAGCTATGATTAGGAGGTTGCAAAACTTATGATTCTTTTTTTCCGTGGCAGTATGTCATTGCTAAGAGTAAATATTTTGGAGGAAACTCTTTATGTAGTTATGCAGTTCATGTAGTTAGAACCCCATTAACTCGCATGCAAGGTCTTATTTTTATTCTGCTAGTGTTTTGCCAGACATTTTGGGTGACAAATCCAATATACTTACTTCACTCTGTGGATCCTGAATTACTTTATAAAGAGATGAAATCAAAGCAGTCTTGTCTTTCAAACTGGTAGCATAGCTGGATATGGATGCTTCTGGCAGTGTCTGAAATAAAAATATTATGAGCAATTTTTAATCACTAAAATATAACAGCTGTTTCCACAACAATTTTTCATTGCAAGTTACTATTTATCAGGGTTTAACTATAAACTAAAACTTGTTTTGTAAAGAAATCCTTACTATGGAAATCATTGCCAGAAGACACACTGCATTCTCAGTGTGCCAGAAGACACACTGCATTTTGCAGTTTCATATAGAATGTAATGACAATGGATGGAAAAACAGATAAAAACCCAAGAGTTTCAGAGGTGCAACTCTCACTGAAATTTCACTTGAAATGTCAGTACCATGAAACTTAACACTTTTCAGATCCATACTTCAAGGAGTTCTCAAGACTGACTGTACACAGGCAGTGAACATTATTACTAGATACAGTTTACTCTGCAAGAACACAAATTCCAGTTGATGCAAACAGCTCTTCTCTAACACTAAACACATTTTCTGCCAGTACTTAAGAAGGTAAAAATCTAATATTTTTAACAGCCCTTTGGAAGCTGTATATTTAAACTTAATATACCTCTTACATTACTTACCTGCAGTCCTTCAAAGGAGATTATACTCCACTATACAGATAGGAAAACACATTCCCAGTGTACCTAAGCAGACCAGGAGCAAAACCTATAGTCAAGTCTAGTACTCAAACAAACAAAACCATTCACCTATGATACACATTTTCACTGCTCTGTATCAGGAAGTATGTCATCCCCAAGGAGGCAAGGAAAGAAAAAAAATCTTTCCAAGCAGACATTTGTATTTATCACATGATCTCAGCAAAACCCAAGGTTACTATTTTTTGTTTTCTACAGGAATCAAGCACTCCTGCATACTGCTCCAGCAGCAATTCAAACACTACTGACAAAATATATGAGAATGTATTACCTTAAACTCTGATAACCACTCCTCCACAACCCCAGTATCCACAGCTAACATCTTCCAACATCCGTTTCCAAACCTTCAGCCTGAAAGCACAAGCAGAGTTAGTGAAAACTACATAAGTCATTGCATTAAGCAGATGATGTAAATTAAGTCCTTGTGAATGTTTAAAGAATCTTTTTATGATTTTACTTGTTAACATTTCACATCCTGATATTACTTTGAACTTTTATTCTACCTCACTTATGCAAGCTGCTGGAAGCATTAAACACAGGAGTCTTCACATACAGCAGTTTAATAAATTCCAAGTATGAATTGTGTGGGAAGCTCAGCAAGTCAAAGATTTGCAGAAATGGCATTCTGAAAACAGAAAATATTATCTTCTCAATTTCAATTTATTTTTCAGCTTACAAAACTCAAGAGAAAACTGCATGGACTCACTGAAGAGAAATGACTGTTTAGGTTTTTCCTAGTCAGCTACTATTCCCAGCTTGGAAAAGGTCACTGAAATAAAGGCGGATGGAAAACCTTTCAATTCTCCCCCACTGTGGCAACTGCAAGACAATGAGCCTACTGCCTCAGCATGGAGCCTAGGACAGACTTCCCTGCCCAGCATTCTGTCCAATCCCAAACAGAGCAAAATTATCAGTACTAGGACTTGAAGACAAGAGATGCAGAGTGACTTCTGAAATGACAGTCAGTGACATCAAGGTCAGGGAAGACACAGGTGCAATGACAATGACATAGTAGAACACAGGAACCCAAGAAGGATAAAAGCAGGGAGGAGGACCAAGAATGGTTCACAGACTTTTACAAAAATACCATCAGCAACAGGAATACTAGGGCACCATGACTGAATTAGGCAGAGGACCTGCTGACAGGACACACAGAAAAGGCCAAGGTACTCACTACCACCTTTACTTCTGTTGTTACCAACAAGACCAGGCCCCAGGAACCCTGGATCTCAGAGCACAGAAAACTCAAGTGCCAGGGTCAGAGGGCACGAAGTCACCAGTGCACAAAGCCCTGCTGGACACCTGGCCTTACTGATGAACTGCAGGGGTCAATACCCAGGGCAGGAAGATTTAACATCTTCGTTAATGAAGATGAATGATGGGACAGAGCTCACCCTCAGCATGTTCAACCAGGAGGACAGGCTGATAGCCCAGCAGAATGTGCTGCTGTTCACAGGGACACCAATGGGCAGGAAGTGTGAGCTGACGTGTATCTCAGCAATTTTAAAGGCAGTACCAAGTCCTACTCCAGGGAAAAAACCCCAGGCACCAGCACACACAGGGCCCATGAGTCAGCCACACTCATCCTCGCAGCACAGATGAACAACAGCCTCCAGATCACCATCAGGTCAAGGGAAGTGATCCTTCCTTGTGACGGGCCCTGTAAGACACATTTGGAGTCCTGGGCTTCCCAGCACAACAGACACATGCCTATACTGGAAATAGTTTGGGAGAAGGCCACAAAGCTAATGGACAAACCAGAGCATTTCTCACATGAGGAGAGGCCGAGAGAGCTGGGACTGTTAAGCCTACAGAAGAGAAGGCTCATAGGGATTTTATGAATGTAGATAATTACCTGAGGGAAAGAAGTAAAGAAGACAGAGCCAAGCTCTTCTCACTACTGTCCTGTGACAGGACAAGAGGCAATGGACACAAAATGAAATACTGAAAAAGGGTTTAAATGTAATTTCACGCAAGGGTTATTGAACAATGCAACAGGTCACCCAAAGTGGTTGAGGAGTCTCCATCCTTGGAGACATTGAAAACTGAGCTGGATAAAATCCTGAGAAACCACTTGTTTCAATTTTCACTACTTTTGAGCCAAGGAGGTTGAACTTGATTATCATCTCCAAAGATCCATTCAAACCTCATCCATTCTGTCACCCTGCATCAACAAAGAACTGTCACAAAGAATATTCATCTAGATAAATTCCAAGGCTTTCTGATCAGCACTGATAGTCTCTGAAGGTTTAACAATGACAACACAGATGAGTGGCCTCTCAATATTCAGCATAGATTGTGTCAAACCCTGCTGTGAAGTGAGACTTCTAAGGATAATACTGTGTGCTAACAAACACAAAGGCCAGTCCTACCACAATTACTGAAGTAACCACCTTACCAGTTCCTATAGAATCCCACAATCTACTAGCCCTATTTTCAGTCCTGTGAAGGGGGACAAAGGCTTTTGCATCTCATGCTTCAGCACAGCTGACAATAGTAATCATTATCTACCAAGCCCCATTAATAACACAAATACCTGTCCTAGTATTGACTGTTCAAAGCAAGAAACCCATGATTTTAAAGAGTCCAGAGGAGTGCTGGATACTCCAAGTCCATAGCTGATACCACATTTATCCAAGAGATGCCTTTTTTTCACCTATTTCTACTGATCCATCAAGCACTATTTTCAGACTAAAGGTTCCCAGAGAAATCTATAAAAAAGCTGAGATAAAAGAAACAGGACAAAGGTTTTGCTGATCAGGTCTTTGATTTTTAAAGTAGCAGAGGCATTCCATTGAGAGTTAAGGCAGTTGAAATGCACAGAAGATAGACTGTCATCTTTGCCTTTACGCATTAAAAAAATGCATATATACCCATTTAACCTCAAGCACATAGGCACCCGCAGCAACACACATTTGAGTGTCACAAATTAAGAATTCCAGCTTTACAATTATTTTCCATGAAGACAAAGATTGTGTGTTAGACTAATCTTTCCCAGAAGGAAAAAAGCCTCAATTACAACATCAGCTGTGTGGGATCTATTAAAACAGGCACACAACCTACTGCTTTACTAAGGATTGCCACATTTTGTCCTAGTTAAATAACAAGTTGGACTGCAACAATGTGTGGACCGAGTTGGAAAATCCAAGACTGTTCTAAAACAATGATCAACAAATTTCAGTTAATACAATTTTTTCTGGAGTCCACAGAAAATTTAAAAAAGTAACTAAAATGAAATTTCTAACACAAAGTGGGCCAAAGTAAGGCTTAACTTACAGCATCTGTTAACCTTCTACAGAAAAAAACATCCCCAAAGGATTAAGAAAAGCATGCCTTAATTACAGCTTTGTTTCAGTGGATATAACTGCAAGATATAGGCCACTAAGCATTAGATGTCCCAGTCACTATAGAATTAAAGCAAAAAAGGGGATAAAGTAAATACCTGCTACTTTGGGGGGGGGGGAAGTAAAATTATATTAGGAATGTATTTTATAAGTACCAAAACTGTAATGAACATTTAAATAACACAGCAAGCATTACACAGAATTTCTCCAAAGAAGGTCTTGTTTTAAGGTACATTGGCATGTAATTCCCTTCAAATGAATTTTTTTTTACTTGATCTCCTCCTGCTAAGTCCTTGCAAAAACTTCAAATGAGTAGAGTTTGAGAGTTTCTTTAAAAGTAACTTGGTTTTGTCACCATAAATCACACAACACTTTGATTAAAACTGATGAGCAGCTTCAAATGTCCCCATGCTTCTCATTCCAAAAGACTGAGGCAGAGTAATTTGGATGTCCTGATGAAGATTGTTACAAGAAAGAGGAAGAAGACTAGACTATTAAAATGATATGGCAAAAACACTTGTTATGCAGCTCAGTAACAGTCATGTGGTTCATCTCTGCCGAATTTTTTTTAGACACATATATATTCTTAGCTTATATCATACATGAAGTAAAGCCACTTTAGGTGATACACTTTCATTGCAGGTCATATCTTCACTCTGCCACATGATGAAAGCAAGAAAAGCTTCTGCAGTCTAGCTAACACATGACTAATTATTTATATTTATATGGCTAATATAATCTGTTTGTTTATGCCTTGTGAGTTAAAAGTGCTTCGGAGTACTTTCCACAAGACTCTCAGTTTGGACAAGCTGCAAAAGATAGTATTTATACTAGATTATAATTAACAGACTACCTCTCCTAAAGTCCCTATTTAAAGTAAGAGTACCTAAAATCATGGAGTCCTTATAATCTCTCACACTGGAACCCTAGGACATATTCAACTTGAGCTCCAACATCAACCTGAGAGTAGAATCAGTCTAAATTACTTTCCACTCAAAGTCCGCAGTCTGTTTTTATATAGTTTGAGGTTAAGACTTTTCTCTGGATCTGTTTCCAAGTACTAAGCAGCCTCTGAGAGCTGCTAATTCATCTTGGTCTATTCTAATACAATAATAAAAGTCTCCTTACAGTGGAGATATCAATTTTTGCTTTGTTTCAAGATGAACAATACAACTCGAATAAGATGTCAAGTAAGTTTATCTGACAAAAACAAGTCTCGTTTAGAAGGCATTTTCTACAAAATCCTCAAAAAGGTCATTTTCTTCCCCGTATTACAGCACAAACACACGAACTTACTGAATTTATTGTTTTTAATAGAAGAGAGGAAAAAAAGTTGCTATGCTTTCAGTTGGCAGAGGGCAAGCCAAGACAAATTAGGACATATTCTCTGGCAAACTTACTAATGCCTCCCTCTACTTAAATGGCTTTGGTTTTTTTCATACCTGTCACTCAAGACTTTAATACAATATCAAATAATAGCTTTGAATGAAATCACAGACAACACATGCACAGATTTTTCTTTAAAAAGAAATTCTCATAATAGGTGGCTTTCTTGCTCTTAAAAGCTACCCAGCCTTTGTAGAATTCATCCAGGGAACGCAAGTGTGTACATGAAATCTGGACTAATTACAAGAAGGCTGGACTTGGATGAAGAATGATTTCTTGAGTTCAGCAGAACTGACCTTCTGAAACCACAGCATTAGATATTTGCTAGGGGAAATCACAGAGCTGGAAAAAACAAAACCAGGAGCCAAAAACTGCTTAAGTCCTGTCCTCTGGGAATTGCGGGAAGAAGAGAAAAAGCATATACTGGGCCCTTACCTAATCTGTAAAGTATCTTCTTGGAAATCTGTATTATTTGCTAAGAAAAAAATTTTTAGCCTAAAGGAAACATGGAGCAGAAAGTTAAGCTATTTATGAACCATAACTGAAATTTGTCAGCTCATCCCAGAATAGGAACAAAGTAAACTTGTGATCATTCCATTAGGATGTATCAGACTCATAAGA